CCAAAAAAAAAGCAAAATATCAAACAAAACAAAAATATTTTTTTAAAAACAAAAAAAAAACAACAAAAAAGAAAACCCAAACAGAAACAAACAAATAAAAAAAGAAACCCAAAACACCCTGTTACCTGTGCATTGGACCACTGTGACGTCATCACTCCCCCTGAGGTCAGTCGGAGCACAATGTCAGTCAGTCTGGCCACCAGGTCAGCCTGGCGCTGGGTCAGGAAAGGTCGAGGGTGTCCGAAGGTCGCCAGCCGCTTGCCGTACAGCTTGGCCGTGGCGTCGTCCCCTGACCACATGCGATGCAGCTCGTCCGTCGCCATGGCAACACGGGGCACGGTTCTGGGGAATGGGGAAGTAATAATTGTAGTGTGTTTAAAGAAGTGGCAAATAAGAAGGAGGGGGGGGGGGAAGAGAGACGGGACACGTGAGAGAGAATTTCACAGCGCTTTTGACCCTTTATTTTGATTGTTCCCCCCCCCCCCTTCCTCCCATAACATAATTTAGGTCATTTAGGAGGAGGGCTGCAAAAAAGGAGGCAACCCAGGCTGAAAGAGATATACTATTACAACATCCCAACAGACAGAGAGAGAAGATACTCAACAAAATTATGTCAAATTGAATGCATGTCTTCTGTAGTCTGTATGCAAAAACAAAAAAGGGTAATCTCTAAATCACAGAGAGGTCCTTGGGTCTGGACTTAACAACACCCCTTTCAATACAAACAAAATATTTTTTTGGCCCACCTTTGACTGAAAACTGTAAACTGTCAAAGCAGACCTGACTAATGAACAAATGTAGACAATACTACAAACTGCAAGACAAAGACGGCCCACATTGTGGTGCAAGTGTTTACACCTCCATTGACACAATTTAGACAGCTGCCGGTAAACTCGTAAACTCACCTCTGTACATGCTCCAAGAGGTCCGCCAACTTGTCCTCCAGCCAGTGCCAGTGCAAGGCCAGGTGTGACGTCAGGACGTCACGTGACACGCCAGAGCCACGCCCAGACACGCCCACATCTGCCAGCCGCACCAACCAGAGGAGCCTGTGCCAGTGCTGGGGAGAAGGATGATGATTATGATGATGATGATAATAACAATAAAAATAATAATAACAATATTAATAATAATGAACAGTGTTTATGCTGTGCATTTCCATGTTCAAAAAATGCTCAAAAGCCCATCACATTACTAAAGATATGTTTTAGAAATTAAAGGACATATAATATATATATATATATAGATATATATATATATATATAGAGAGAGAGAGAGAGAGAGAGAGAGAGAGAGAGAGAGAGAGAGAGAGAGAGAGAGAGAGAGAGAGAGAGAGAGAGAGAGAGAACATGGCTGTTTTGAAATTTTGCTTCCTTCTTTTTAAGTGTAGGTGTCTTTACTACCCCATCGACACAATTTCTATAATTTTGACAGGCTCTCTGCCAGGGTCAGCCTGTGCTGAGAGGGATACAATGTCCCAGCTGAAAGAAAGACCGAGAAACTCAATAGAAATAAAACTCCTCCACACATGGGAATCGAACTCGGGACTTCTGCATGCGACAGGGAGGTGCCTAACATGTTAACAGCACAGGTGCCGAATTGCTCCTAGCTACGAAGATAGTTTCGAGCCCTCCATGAGTCTGTCTCATATTTATTAATACAATGCTTTTGTTGGGGAGGGTAGGCACCGCTAGTTTTGTCTGGAAAGACATTTTCAATCTTTTTCACTACCAATCGAACTCATGTCTTCTGCGTACCACGGCGAAGCGCCTAAACATTTCAGCGCTGACACCTGTAGACTACATGCATTTTGATAGCAAGTGTTGGTGTTTGTGATAGTGGACATGTACGTGATCGTTGTGCGATCTTCACACACACACACACACACACACACACACACACACACACACACACACACTTGCATATATACATTATATATTATCACAGAGAGAGAAAAGGTGGGGAGCAATGTTTTGAAAGTGTTTTACGGCGCTTGCAACTGCATAAGGTCGTTTGAGCACGGGGGACACATTAAGCATTTTCAGTTTGGTAGGAATTCATTCTGAATTTTGCCCAGGAGGCAACCGAAGTCTACTATTATCGTTTTTAAGACCACCAAGGGATCTTTGCCGTGCTCAACTTGCACACTGAACCTCCGAGATTTTTTCGGCCTTATCTGAGAACGCTAGGTGTTCGATCTGATCTACCCTAAGATCAGGGGTGTGGCTGAAAGACAGCAGTATGAAGGAGTCAAGGAGTAGCAGTAGAAAGAGAGGGAGTTCATAGGACCAGGGGGGGGGGGGGGGAGAGAAAGTGAAGACGAAAAACAGATGACAGAACATTATCAGAGTGCAGGAAAGAAGGTAAAGGGGGAAAAAATTGAGGAAAAAATTTTCCGTCAGGTTTCGAACCCGGGACCTATTGAATGAGAGGGAACACCATGACCTCTATACCATGAGAGCCCCCGCATTGGTGTGTGTGCTAAAGAATCGCTGTGCGTGAGCGCGTGAACGTGTCTTTTCGTATGAGCATTGATGCGGGTGCGCGAGCGAACGCGTGCGAGTGTGTGTGTGTGTGTGTGTGTGTGTGTGTGTGTGTGTGTGTGTGTGTGTGTGTGTGTGTGTGTGTGTGTGTGTGTGTGTGTGTGTGAGTGTGTGTGTGTGTGTGTGTGTGTGTGTGTGTGTGTGAATGTATGCGAGTTAGGTTGCTGCATGCCGGTTAGCGAGCACCTGTGTGTGAGAGTGGTGAGCAGGCTGGCAGGCAAAGATAGGTAGGTACGTAGGTAGGTAGGTAGGTAGGTAGGTAGGTGGGTAGGTAGGTAGGTAGGTAGGTAGGTAGGCTGACAGTCAGGTAGGCAGACAGAATGCCAGGCACGTTTGTAGGCAGATAGGTAGGCAGGCAGGCAGGCAGGAAGGTAGGTAGGTAGGTAGGTAGGTAGGTAGGTAGGTAGGTAGGTAGGTAGGTAGGTAGGTAGGTAGGTAGGTAGGTAGGTAGGTAGATCTAAGTAGGCAGGCAGGCAGGCAGGTAGGTAAGTACACGCACGCAATTATTCGGCTTGGCACGTAGGCGTGCAGGTGGGTTAGTCGTAGATGGGGTATAACATTTGTTTTAGTAAGAGCTTTTTAGTTTTAGTAAGTGTTTTACGGCACTAGCAACACAATAAGGTGTACGAGCTTTACAACCCTTGTAACACATGAGTACCGAAGACTAGAGGCGAGGCGTTACTATAAGAAGAGAAACATGAAACGAAAAGAAGGAGCAGAAATATGGAAGACAGACATTTGATTGGAAAGAAAGAGAAAAACCACACCAGAGCACCCACCAACCAACCACAGTAGAGAGACAATAATAAGCGTTTTAGTTTAGTAGAGGTTTTACGGCGCTCGCAACTGCATAAGGTCATATGAGCGCCAGAAGATTAGAGGTGTTACAAGAGAGTAACAAACATAAAAAAGAAGGAGGGGGAGATAAGGACAATAGATGTTTGATAGGAAAGAAGAAGCAATAATAAGCTGTAGGTTAAAAAAAAGTAAATAAGATAGATAAATCTACATACGTAAGCAAAATGACAGAAGCCGATCAATAGGCAGACGGCACACATACAAGAAAGAAAAAAAAACCCCAAACAAACGGGGGCGGACTGAGACAACCGAGACGCAAACACACGCACAAAAAGCATCAATCAAACTAGCGCACAAACACATGATGAGGGATTTAACCGTCATCTATCAGCCCGTAATTACAATGTTCTCACCCCTCAATCGCCCCTCCCCACAAAACACGAGCACTATAATTAGGCTCGTTTGGACTTCCCCGTAACAAGACTGGCATTAGCGGCGATGACACAGTGGCTCGTGCCATTAGGCCTGGTATGTCGGTTTTTCTTTTTTTTTCCCTCCAGGAATAGCTAGTGGCTATTCATTCTCGCTATGAAGGAATATTATCTGTTTTGATCTTGTTGTCCTATGGCCTTTGGTCAGATGGGTAGGATTAGGAGACAGTATGGGCGTTAGTTAGGATAAGCAGGCTGATTCCTTGGTTAAACTATGGCAATGACAATCGTCTCTATTCATTTAATAGTGAAGAATTATTTGTCTTGGTTGTTTGCAGTGGCAGTGTTGTTACAAAGTTCATGTACACCAACGCATACACACGGCAAGTTGGCATTTACAAGACCAAAACTTAGTCGATAGTGCCGTAAAACACCTTCTCAAACGTAACACCTCCGCTTCATAAACATTCTCTCTCTCTCTCTCTCTCTCTCTCTCTCTCTCTCTCTCTCTCTCTCTCTCAGCTCTGTCTATCTATCTATCTCCCTCCCCACCTCTCTCTCTCTCTCTCTCTCTCTCTCTCTCTCAATCTCCCTCAGACCAGAACAAATTAAGGAAGCAAAAGAAACAGACCTCACTAGACAATACACCAACCATTCACTTACGCTACAACACACGACATGATGCCTCTTACCTGTGGGGAGAGCGCCAGTGCTTCAGGCGGTAACAACTCCACGAGGCGAGGAAGAGAAGTGGCCATCTCCGATAGGACCAGCAGAATTAGGCCCAGCGCAGAAGGCGTGCCTCGGCCACCTGTGGGATGGACAACAATTGGTTAAAGAGAATCAAAAGGGGACAGCATGGAAGAAATCGCCAGGGTGGGTGATTGTTATGGAATGCTCACATCTACCACCGACCCCACCTTACTCTCCTGAGCAAAATTAAGAAGAAAAAACAAAACAAGACACCCCCCCAACCCCCCCCCTCCAAAAAACCCAAAAAACCAAAGCATTTTCGATTCTTCTTCTTCTCTTTATCTTCGTCCTCCTTTCCCTCCTCCCTTTTCTTCTCCTTCTTCACTGTTAGCAACATCATTTCAACCTCTAGCCCTTTTCACCCTCCCCGCCCCCTTTTCGTGGTGACCACGATGATGATGTAGTGGTGATGATGAATTGTGGTGGTGATGATGATGATGTGGTGGTGGTGGTGGTGGTGGTGGTGGTGGTGATAATGATGATGATGATGATGATGATGATGATGATGATGATGATGATGATGATGATGGTGGTGACGATGATCTGGGTGGAGAAAATGTTATTGGATACTCAAATCATTTTCCTGAAGAAATCCAACGGGAGAAATGTCAAACCGCATATCTATTTACCATACAATTAATTGTCGAAACATTATCCACGTCTTCTCTTATTATTATACCTTTCTACAACGATGATGGTGATGTTGATGATGATGGTGAGGAGGAGGAGGAGGAGGAGGAGGAGGAGGAAAATGAGAAGGAGGGGAAGAAGGAGGAGGAGAAACATTAACACATATAACGATATGAATGGCAAATTTTATTTATTAACTGAACGATTCCTTAGACATCAGTCCTTTTGAAAAAGAAGAACGACTGATAGGACCATCTACTTGAAAGCATTTTTAAAAGAAAATTGTATTTCATTTTGTATATATACATTTCTTTTTCAGTATATCGTTAAATGGTCCATTAGGCTTGGCAGAATGATTGATGCCTTCCCCAGGCAACTGATAGGACACTCTGAAAGGGCACTTGCTGACCTAAAAACGTCCGATTTGCTCTAACAAAGAGGCCTACTTTTGGCCACACCCGTTCAAGAATGCTATACAACCACACACAAACACAGACACACACACAAACGCACAGAGAGAGAAGAGAGCGTGATGGAGAGAGACGGACAAAGAGAGAGAAAGAGAGAAGAGAGAGAGAGAGAGAGAGAGAGAGAGAGAGAGAGAGAGAGAGAGAGAGAGAGAGAGAGAGAGAGAGAGAGAGAGAGAGAGAGAGAGGG